TATAACACAATCACTTTGCTCTATACAGAAACTAGCAACTAGCACCACACTGTAAATCAATTATACTTCAATTTAAAAAATAATAAATAAATGTAAAGCTCCTATTGCGCGCTCTCTGACCCAAGCTACTGCCAGGACCCTCAATCATTGTGGCATGGCTGTATAACTCCCACAGTCTGTTCCTAGGACTTAGCAAATTGTTAGGACTAATAACACAGTATTCTAGCTCCCCAGACTGCCCAAACCAGTTAGGAATCCCTCTTCTAAATATATAGCTCAGATACTCTGTTGCTGAGTTTCTTTAAATTATGTGAGGATTTAATTGTCCGTATCGAGTTCTGTGATTCAAAGGCACAGGAATAAGATGAGTTCTTATCCCACTGGGGTTTTTATTTTGTTCAAAATTAAAACAGACCCAAGGGATGGCAAGGAATGGCTTCTTTCTCTAGATTATATCTTTGATGATTTGTATCAGCAAAGCCTTGCCGAAGGCTGATACTTATAACCTCTGCAGGGTTTTACACACCTAAATTCTTTTCTGGCAGTTCCTCTTCTGCCCAAATTCCTCAGGAAGCAGTGCAATGAGAGGGGAAATGTAAGCTTGGTTTAGTATCTTCATAGTTTGTTTACATCTTATACACCAATGCTTTAGAGTTAAGTAAATCAGTTGGGCTCAAGACCTGGTTTGTAACCTTGGGAAAGTTACCTATGCCTCAATTTCCTCATCTATAAAATGTGGGCAATGGCATCTCTTTTCCAAGGTGATTTTCTTGAAATGCACCTATAAGGAAGTACCCAGAACAATACTTGGCACATGCAAAGAACCCAGTAAAGCTGCTCTTTTCTCTCCCTCTCTACCTTCACTGCCTCCACTGGAATGAATATCAAAACCATAAAAGTAAATTGCCTGTATTCACCTCTATTCTTATAGAATTCTTACTGAGTCCTTAGTTTTTCCTGACTGTTTTCAGGCTTGACAATACTCAGACATAATTAAAGGAACCCACGTTACAAGGGTAACATTTAAAAGCCAGCTTTGCATCCAGCTTTGTCATCACTGGGCACACCCTCTGGCTACTACTATGCAGGGCAAGACTGAAACCAGGAAGTCAGAGTTTCACGGTTTTCCTTTTGACCAGCTTATTGAGCAATGGGGAAGAATCTGAGAACACTATACATAGCATCCTACCCCAGAGAGGTCAGCATTCCTTAGGGTGATTGAGTTACCATTATCCATTAGCTTCACTGTGAAATCATTTGTTAAAGCGCTATTCTCCCAGAGTCATAAACCACAATCCTGGAGGGGTCTGCAACAGTGGTTGGCAACTACTACACAAGGGACAAATCTACCCCACTTCCTGCTTTTATACACCTACGACCTAATCATTTGTTGTAATTGAAAAAATAAAGAATAGTATTTCTTGACATATGAAAATTATATGAGACACAAACTTTGGTGTCCATAAGTAAAGTCAGACTGGAACAAAGCCACAGCCATTTATTTGTGTATTGTCTATGGATGCCTGCATGGTACAGGAGCAGAACTGAGTTACTGCTGCAGAAATTGTATAGCCCATAAAACCTATACAATTTCTGGTCCTTTACAAAGTTCGCTGCCCCCTGATAAGGGGCACAGACCCTGGGGACCACACAGCCCGGCAGCAGGCTCGGTTCCTCCCATTTGCCCAAGTGCTCTCATCTCCTTTGTATCCTCCAATGGATAATCAGGGTTTTATGAGGGTCAAACAAATGTAGAAAGTGCTTAGATGAGGGCCTGGTGCATATTAAGTACCATCTATGGGTCTGTTACTATTAGCTGTCACAACTTTTTTCATAAACTAAAGCAGCAGCAGCATACCAGTTAGTTAGCAACAACTGTGAGAATTTCATTTGTAGCACTCCAATGACATTCAAGGGGCAGTAGGAAGGTATTAAAGACAACTGAAATAACAATGAGCATAGATGCTTATCCACAAAACAAGTTCTGCATTCTTAACAAATATTTTTTATGCTATATTCTTCTTTCAAACTTGAGTCTTAGAGAAGCTTACACTCAACTTTGAGTTCAGCCCTCACTATCTACTCCTTACAGTTGGAAGAAACAGACTTCAAAACAGAGGCTAAGGAACAGTATAGAGCCCAGAAATAAATCCATGCATATATGGTCAACGGATCTGAGACAAGAATGCCAAAAGTACACAATGGAGAAAGGATGACCTCTTCAATAAATGGTCCTATGAAAACTGGATTAGTGCGTGTGTGTATGGCTCAGGTGTGTCTGACTGTGACCGCATGGACTATAGCCCACCAGGCTCCTCTGACCTGGGATTTCCCAGCCAGGAACACTGGAGCGGTTTGCTGTTTCCTTCTCCAGTGGATCATCTTGATCCAGGGATCGAACCCATGTCTCCTGCACATCTCCCACATTGCAGGTGGATTCATTTTTTTTTTTTAAACCACTGAGCCACTGAGGAAAACTGGATGCTCACATGCAAAAGAGTGATTATTGGACCCTATCCCACACCATACACAAAAATCAACTCAAAATGGAATAAAGACTTAAATATAGGATCTAAAACTGTAAAACTCTTAAAAGAAAACTTAAGGGGAAAGCTTTGTGACATTGGCCTTGACACTGATTTCATGGCTGTGACACCAAAAACACAAGCAACAAAAACTAAATAAATAAGTAGGATTAAAAAACTTCTGCACCGCAAAGAAACAACAGAATGCAAAGGCAACTCACAGAACAAAAGAAAATATTTGCAAACCATATTCTGACAAGAAATTATTCTCTAAAATTTTTACAAAGACATACAAATGTACAGCAGGTATATGAAAAAATGCTCAGTGTCACTAGTTACCAGGGAAATGCAAATCAAAACCACAATGAGGTATCACCTCATACCTGCCAAGATGGCTATTATTATAAAAAGAAAAAAAAATAGACAATAAGTGTTGGCAAGTATGTGGAAAAATTGGAAATCCTGCACATTATTAGTGGGAACTAGAAATGGTGAGGTTGCCATGAAAACAGTGTGGAGTTTCCTCAAAAAATTAAAAATAAAATGACCATATGATCTAGCAACCCTACTTCTGGATATATATCCAAAAAAAAAAAAAAAAATGAAAACAGAATCTCAAAGAGATATTTGCACCAATGTTCACAGCAATTTTATTCACCAATAACCAAGATGTGGCAGCAACCCAAATGTCCCAACTATACATGAATATTTTTCAGTGTGGCATATAGCATACAATGCATTGTTATCCAGCCTTAAAAAAGGATATCCTATCACATTCTGCAACATGGTTGAATTTCAAGGACACTATGCTAAGTCAATTACAAGAAGACAAATACTGCATGATTCTACTTATATGAGACATTTAAAAATAGTCAAACTCATAGAAACAGAAACTAGAATGGTGGTTGCCAGGACCTTTGAGGAGGAAATGGAGAGTTGTTTACTGGTAGAGATTTTCAGTCATGTGAGAGGAAAAGTTTTGGAGATCTGCTATGCGGCACTGTGGATGCTTTTAACAATAGTGCACTGTACACTTGGGCAGGAAGATATCAGCTTGTGTTTTTACTATAATAAAAATACTAGGGAAAAGATAAAACCCTCCATATAGGCCAAAGGACTCATATCTCTAATCTACCTTGATGATGACTGTGGTACTTGAAAACAGTAATCAACTTACTGAATGAAACACAAAGCAAGTAATGTATAGTTGATTTGATATCAGACAAGAGGGAACATTAGAATTTTTCTCACAACTCAGGACTTTCATTTTGAGGTATGCGGGATCCAAAAAGAGAACTTGAGAGGGAAGTTTATACATGAGAGGAAAACAATGACCCTAGTGAGAACCCAGTCGACCACATGAGCAAGCCCTGGCCCACACACAGCACGTGGTCCAATATTTGTTAAATGTTGATGACTCATTCAATTTTTCTGTGCAACCTCCATAGCAAACACTGCGAATCTTGCTTATTGTTACATTGCTTAAAACGTTGACATTCAAAGAATTCTGCGTGATAGAAACTGTATGAAACAAAACCAAACCAGAAAATCTCACGTCTGAATTGCTTCAAACTGTTAAAGTGGGTGAAAAAGAAAGCTGTGAAGTAAAGAAAACTGTTTCCTGAATCACCTGACTGAAATACCAAGACCCAGCACTCTTACCTTCCTGACAAGTGTGTTTTTACCAACACACTCCTTGCCTGCACTAAACTTTCCTTGCATAAAAAGTAGCTGAGTGATTTTGGAGACGGGATTGTTTTGCCTGAATCATCCAGATAAGTGGAACAACTCAACTTCTAAGAACAGTCTGGCCGAGGCTGCCCTGGCCTAAGTGTCCTCTGTCCTCTTCACACCATATCTGAGTCACATGCAGCTTAACCTGGAGATGACAGTGTCGCCTAGGAAGGAAACACGCCGTTATTGTCGAATGAAATGGTCAACCGCAAACCGACGCTCCAAATGCGCTCAGGTCCTGACGTTCACTGCTGATTTCCCAGGGCGCTTTCGCAGCTTCATTTTTCGACTTCTCTCCCCGAGAGCATCTCAGAGCTGCCCTAAGGCATTCGGCCCCTTCCCCCAATACCACACTTTGCTTCCAGCCCCGTGGGCCTGTCCAATGAAGTTGTTTAAAATACAAAACGTAGCAGAAGATGATCGAGCAGGAAGAGAAAAAGAACACCCGGCGAAAAGGGTTGGTGTTGGAACGTGCCATTCGTTTTGGAGGGAGGAGAATCCCAGGTGTGAATTGCATCCCGCGTGTGAAGTCACTTACCAGACCTCGGGTTCTTGAGGGCCTGAGAAGAGAAATCACCGAAGACCAGGCGGCGCGCAGGAAGGGGCGGAGGCCGGGAGCGGAGCCTGGCGCGGGCGGCGGCCCCGGGCGCGTCCCCCGCGGCCCCGGGTGGTGCGGCCCTGGGCGGTCCCCGCGGGCAGCCGGGGAGGCGGGAGGCGCTGGGCGGCGGCGCAGAGTGCAGCATGGCGTATCCCGGGCATCCTGGCGCCGGCGGCGGCTACTACGCGGGCGGGGTGAGTGCTGCCCGCGCGGGCTCGTGGCCGGGGCGCGACCTCTGGACGCCCGGGGCTCCGAGAAGCCACAGGGGGCGTCTCGGCAGGGGCGGCTCCCGGGCGCCCCCGCCCTGCCCGCCGCCTCGCCCAGCGCCCCCGCCGTCCGGCCTCTGTCTCCAGCGACCTCCTTCCTTCTGTCCCTTCTTCCCCCCTGGGTTTCTGCTTGGGGCCGGGACGCGCGTAGGTTTGACCCAAGAAGCCCACCCTGTGCCTCCCGGATCCGCGGCGTGAAATCGTGCAAATGGGGTGTCGCCTTCCTCTCCGCCTTCTCTAAGAGCAACAGCCATTTTAATCTAGAATGGTCCTGCGATCTAATGGTCCTTCTCTCTCTCTCTCTCCGAAAATGAGAAAAACGGGACAGTCAGGGAAAGTCCGCTAGCGTCAGAGACTTCGGGAGGAAGGCAGCCTGGCCCTGAGTCTGGGACGGGCATCCTTTTGGGAACTGTTTACTAAAAAGAATATTCCCTAGCTGTGACACACCTCACCCTTCGGAGGCTACACCTGTCTCAGAACGCTTTAAAAATACCATAAACGCTAGAAAAAAAAACAGGCAAGACAGTTCTGAGCCCTGCTGGTAAGTTGCATGGCCAGGTTGCATTCATCTCAGCAAACTGCAGGTTAATGGGGATTTGCAGAGGTTACTTCATTTATACTGATGTCATTGTCAAGACAACTCATTTTGATCCTAGCTGCGGGTTTTTTAATTATAACTGGGGTGAGAATGGGAAAAAGGGGAGGAGTGATTGTACGTAGAGAGTTAAGGGGGAGGGCGGGGGGAGGGGAGCAAACGACTGAGAGTGAACCTGACTTCGCACAAGGCAGTGAATGGTCAAAGAATAAAACTTGGTCAGCGGATTGATGCATTTGTTCCCTGTCTTACAGTACGGAGGGGCTCCCGGAGGGCCTGCGTTTCCCGGACAAACTCAGGATCCGCTGTATGGTTACTTTGCTGCTGTAGCTGGACAGGTTAGCTCTTCCCTTTAACATTAAAGGAATTGCAGATTCTACATTTGTATTAACCTTTGTTACCGCCGGGCTCCCCTGGTGGCTCAGAGGTTAAAGCGTCTGCCCGCAATGCCAGAGACCTGGTGACCTGGGTTCAATCCCTGGGTTGGGAAGATCCCCTAGGAGAAGGAAATGGCAACCCACTCCAGTATTCTTGCCTGGAGAATCCCATGGACGGAGGAGCCTGGTAGGCTACTACGGCCCATGGGGTCGCAAAGAGTCGGACACGACTGAGCGACTTCACTTTCACTTGTTATAGTCACGGAAAAATGACTATTCCTCTAGAAAAGAATTCCTTTGCTTCTGCTCAAGAAAACAAAAGAGAGAAGGAAGTTCATGGGCAGTTATTTATTTTTGAATATTCAAAACTCGGACAACGTGTACCCATGCTTATGTTCAATTCAGAACTAAACTTGTGATTGAATTAGGGTCAGATTGAACACAATAAGCTAGTATAAATATGCTTTGAAGATATGTAAGGTAGAAAGATGTCTTTAGAACTGTGAATTGTCAGGGTCCAGACAGTGAATTTCCAGAGAAGAAATTCCAGGTCAGATGAACTTTAAACCTTTCTTTGTACAATTAGAAGCATGTAGTACCAGTAATTCTGTAGCCAGATTCTGAGGGACATTTTCTTTGCATTGAGTTTGACTTAATTACCCTCTTAGGAAATGGGTACTTCAGGTAAAAACCCACCAGCTTCAAAATAAGAAAGGTACTTTCTTCTTGCTATCAGGAAGTTAATCTTGTGGCCAGTTTAGTTTTTCTTTGCTGCGGATGCCATTACTAGGTCAGCCCTTACATGTCCTTGTTAGATGCTGTGGTCTATTGACCCAGAGAGAGAATTAAGGTCAGCACCCCAAGACCTTTCACTTCTTTGCATTCTAGTTGTGTGACAGGTGGTAGTTCATCTTGTAGGAGGCGTTTTTCCTCAGCTGCCAGGTCACTGTATGTATCATACTGCTGTTATAATCCAGCATGTTCAAAGAGGATGTTTGTGCTTATGAATTCAACCTAGTTTTCTTTTAATCAAAAGCTAGAAATAGCACAGTCTTAATGTGAAAATGCCTGAAGACTATTATGGGATAAAAACCTGTGACCACCTTTTAGAACAGCACTGGAAGAAATACAGTTTGAGAAACTGAATGGAAAATTGAGTCTAAAACTGAAAGAGCTTCCCCTTAAGTATCTGCTTCACCTGTTAGTGATCCGTATCTTTGAAACCACAAGACACGGCAAAGCTCAAGTCTCTGCATTCTTCGATCGCCAGTACCAGGAGCCATGAAAGTGACCCCACCTGCTTAGCTTTCAGCAGCCCTGCTCTGCGGCAGCATGTCCATCGTCTTTCACATTATTGATCCTGCCTGTCACCTAGATTGTATAATAGTCATGAACTTGAGGATTTAGGCATTTTATTTTAAAATCTTTAACATATTTCTAATTCTGACCTAGGTCAGCCAATGAATAGGCATGAAGAACCTGTCTTCTAGGTATAATTGTGATCTGAAAAAAATATTCATCATATTCTAAGCAAGGATGATCACAGAGGCTGCTTTTTGTGGGAACCAAACTTTTCATTTACTGATGTCATCCTGTGTACCCAGCTCTCCACCCCCTCAACAGGAAAAAAAAAAAAAAAAACTAGGACAATTAATAGAACTTTTAATCAAATACATAAATAATTGTATTCTAAATTGCTTACTTTGGCAGTTTCCTAGTTCAGCCTGAGAGTAGTTCAGGATAGAAGCTAGTTGTATTCATATGTTTAAAAATATGTCTCAGTGGAAGAAACTGAATTCATCTCACTGTTTTATTAAGAAGAGGAACCTTATACTTGAGAAGTTATGCCAAGTCTGATTCAGGAATTTATAGGAAATGATGAAAAGATATTGGTAATATCAAAGTACAGGTGTAAGCAGCTTTCAGACTTGGTTAATTCTTGTATAATGATTGTTGCAAATAAAGCCTGAAATTGAATACCCACTTTACCTAGGTATTAAGAAAGGTATTTTTGGTATACGTCCCTCATTATCCATTTGTGGGAGAACGCTGAACAATTTCTTTCTGTAACTTAACTGTTTAGGGAAGTAGAGTGAAGAAAAAGAATGCCTACTTTTGAAAGGCATCCATTTAAAAAAGTCTCATACATGATAATATTCATTTTCTTTATCATTATTGGTATACTGAATGCTGAATATAAACAAAGAACTGGAAGGTACCAGTCATTCTTGTAAATCTTTTTCCTTTTTTTTCCCCCCCAAAAGGATGGACAAATAGACGCTGATGAACTGCAAAGATGCCTGACACAGTCAGGCATTGCTGGAGGATACAAACGTGAGTTAGCAGCCCCAAAGTGTCTTGGAAATCTCTTATATTTCATGTTTCAGATGTCACTTGTGATTATTATAGCCTTTAAAGAATCTGAGAGTTTCTGAAATGGCAAAGTTAAGAATTTCAGAAGTTGAATTTATTTCTTTTGTATTTCAAAATGCTCGTTTGAAGATAGTTCTTACTGAATCATCCCACACTACCCACCAGTTTAGTGGGTTTCTTGGATCTGGGTTCCTGGTGTCTGGAACCATTCAGACCAATAAGACATGTGGCCTCCTCCTCAGAAAACAAGGTAAGATGCTGAAATGAAATCCTCCAGGTCAGGTGTCATTAATGATAGGAGCTAACATTTGCTGCTCACTGTTTGCCAGGAGCATATTCTGGCTCAAACGTGGTATCACTTAGGACTTTCAGTGGCTGGTCCCTTGCACCTGATCCCAGGGTGACCTGTTCTGCATCCCTGGTTCTGAGTAGTTGGTCCTACCCTCCCTTTTCACAAGTGCCCAGTCCCCCACCCCTAGTCCTCAAGGATCCAGTTCTACACTCCTGCTCTCAGCTCCTGGCAGCATGAATGCTCACCTTGACATCCCCCAGGTCTTTGCTCTTTCTACATCAGGCTAAGTAAGATGTACCCTTCCTGATTTCTAAACTCTTTATAGTAGTCCTTCCTGCTGCCCCCTAGTTCCTCATAGACTCCCCATGTGCTTACACCCACTTCCTTCCTTTTGAATTCTGCACGAGCTGCAGAGGCAGCTCTTACCAGGATGCTCATTCCTGGCAGGGGCTTTCTCATCCCACACATGCCACATGCTTCCCTTCAAATCATGTCTTGACCATGATAGAACAGTGTCTTGGCTGATATGCATGACCTACCACCTTCTTTGCCTGTTGTTAATTGAGACAGAACATCTAATCAAAGTCTCAACTTCTTGGTAAGCTGTGAATTAAAGCATTCAAACTAGGGGATTTCCTGACAGTCCGGTGGTTAGGGCTCCAGGCTTTCACTGCGGAGGACCCGGGTTCAGTCCCTGTTTAGGAAAATAAGATCCCACAAGCCGTTCAGCATGGCCAGAAAACAAACAAGCAAACAAACAAAAAAAAAAAACTCCACAAACTAGAATTCACACCTGTGGACCTGTAGTGGCCATTTTTGGCTGTTTGACAGGGCATAGTTACTAGGTGGTTCTCTTTTTTAAACTATCAGCATATCCATTTTTATCATCCTTTGTTTTATGACTTCAGTATCCAATCACTATTTCCTAGTTGTGGGAATTAAAACAAAATATAAACCTTGTGGATTTCTGTCATTTAGTCTGGTCCTACACAAAAGAAGCCCTTCTCTCCATTAGGGGGTTTGGTTTTTTGTTTTTTTTTTTTTTTTACTATTGTAGGCAGTACATTTAAATTGTTAACCTCAAGCAGTTGGGACTGGTGAACAAAGGATATCTAATAGCAGAGTTTCCACAAGTGAGCTATGTCACAATACAGACTATTACTCTACTTCTGTTCAGTAGAAGAGGTGTGGCCAATTTTAAAATCTAACAGAGTAGGCAGTCTATTCTTGTAGAGCGGTCACTTTAGTAATTTCCTTTGAGAAAGCCACGTTTAGTAATGACCTTAGATCACCGAGTTACAGAAAGGACATATCTATCCTGGATTGTGTGATTAATTTGCTTGCTGTCATCTTCTTGTGAAGGCTGTGCATGCATGCTAAGCTGCTTCAGTCGTGTCCGACCATTTGTGATCTTGTGGACTGTAACAGGCTAGGCTCCTGTGTCCATAGGATTTCCCAGGCAAGAATACTGGAGTGGGTTGCAATTTCCTTCTCCATGTGAGACTGTAATGACCCACAAAACCATCTTGTTTGTGAGTGTCAAAGTGCGTGTTGTAATGGAGAAGTTATGCAGCCATTGGTCTTTTTCAACCCAGCTCCCAAACCAAAAAGCACAGATGGGGATGCGGGAGATAGTAAAACCTATGGCATCTTCTTTTCTTGCCTGGAAAATGCCATAGACAGAGGAGCCTGGCAGGCTACAGTCCATGAGGCCGCAAAGAGAAGGACAGGACTGAGCACACACAGCACATGGTATCTTAACCAATTTAAGAGGGAGCAGTCATGCCTAGAGGTGGTGTTGATGAGGGAAGTTGCTCTTTGAAATTATTTAAAATAGGATTAACATCATTTAAAATTATTTAAATCAGTGTTATTTAAAACAGGAGTAGCATTAGTAAAAACTTTCTGGAGGAAAAAAAAAGAAATGAACAGGAGTTCTCCTCACCCAAACTAATAAAGATGTCAGTGTTCTAACTCATCAGAACTGCCTGCCCAGAATAGTGAATTTTCTCTTTTGTTCCTGCCCATCTCATTCTCTCCCTTCTCAGACCAGATTTCTGTTCTCCCAAACAAAGAACTCTAACCTGTCACTCTCCTCCTCATAAAAATCCTGAGTAGCTCCATGGAGCCCATATAAAACAGAAGTTAGACGGCTTACCAGGAATTCAGCCCCAGACGCACAGCACCCCCACACTTCCCCCCTTCTTTGCCGTCTGGACTCACTGCTGCTTCCCTTGCTCGTGCAGGTCCCCAGCTTTACATGACTGTCTCCAGACATCCCAAATCTTTCCTGTCATTCCCAGCTCGGCTTAAATGTTACCTCTTCTATCAAGTCTTTCTTTCAACATGAAGGAGCCTCTCACACTTCAAGATCTGGTAGTTTCTGGTGTCTCCATTATGGCTTACCCTCTTCTACCCTGTACCCTGGTGAGGGAAATGGCAACCCACCCCAGTGTTGCCTGGAGAATCCCATGGACAGAGGACCCTGGCAGGCTACAGCTCACGGGGACGCAAGAGTCGGACATGACTTAGCGACTAAACCACCACCACCCTGTGCGCATGACTTCCGTCAGCCAGGGCAGGTCCAGTGTCACAGCTGTTATCTCCAGTGTCCCTGGCATCCTGAGCCTTGCACATCAGGAGTACTTAATCGGCATTTGATGAATTAATGAGGATGGGAGACTGCCTAAAATGGAAAAAAAAATACATAATACCTTTATTTGTATTTTGACTTAAGAAAAATTGGTATTTACCTAAGGGATTATACATTACTTCTAATTATCAGTGTAAATCAGAAGTGTCGGTTTAAACTAATGCCTGATTCCCATAGTCAGATTCTGATCTAATTGTTCTGTGGTGATGCTGACTATACTTTGTTAACAAAAGTTGTTAAGAGAGTAGATCTTAAAACTTCTCACCACATGCATCAAAGGTAGCTATGTGAGGTGATACATGTGGTAATTAACCTTCTTACAGTCATTATATACATACATCAAGCCATTACATTGTATACCTTAAACTTACACAATGTTGTATGTCAATCATATCTTAGTAAAGCTAAAAAAGTAATAATTATTGTTCTGTAGTATAGCCCAGATATCAGAGCCTTTTAAAGCTTTTGGGTGATTCTTTTAAGTGCTCAGGATCAAGAACCTCTGGTCTAGACTAGAGAGACTTCATACCTCCACACAACTTAAAAATCACAACAAAGAATCAGCCAACTCTTTAAAGTGTTTAAAAGTGTTCCCTTTTCTCACCTCCAAGAATTATCTCCATGGATCAGATAGAGATTAAGGGACCAAAACAGAAATAGTCTCCCACCTTTTATTTCAGGCTTCTAAGCTATGCCAAACACATGAATGTATTAAAAGTAGAAAACCTATAGTTTGTAACATTTGGAAACATTACAGCAATAAGAGTTAGCCTAGTGTTTTAAATTCACTTTGTTTAAAGATTAAAATGAAGCTGGTAATAGCTGTAAATAATGTTAACTCTATGTACATCTCAATAGCCTTGTCAAATTTATGCTAGCTTTGCCCACATGAACCTTGTCACTTCTTCCTCCTAGTTTTACAATTCTTTGTACCTAAGAATACTCCCTCAAAGTCTTGGTAAGATGCAAGGAAATTCTTTAATTTGTTGATACTTAGATAGAGTACTATTAGGTCATAAACCAACAAGTGTATTCTAGTTTGGTTGTCTAAGTGAGGTGTGGAAATACCCTCAAAACACCCTTGAGCCGTGAGTAAACTGAAAAGGCTTCTGAACAATGGCTATCACTGAGTGGGTGCTCTGGTCTTAGTCCAGAATGCTCTCATTTGACTCACAATTCTAGCAAGCATATTTATCTTACTGTCTATGAAAAGAGGTCATAGGCAATTTGGGGTAGGAGGTGACCATTCAATGTCTGATATTAAAGGGAAAAGAAAGAGAAACAAATGATCTGCACAGAACTAGCAAAACCAACTAAAGTCAATTGTGCGTAGGAACAAAGCCACTGGATCCATCCATTCACCGTGGTGGATATAATACATTGTGGTTCATTGTGGTGGATTGAACTCACTATATTACAGTTTCAAAGGCAAAAAAAGAAAATAATACTTTTTATAAACTATGTTATAGAAAACTGTAAGCCTATGCAAAAATAGAGATAATTATACAATGAATTCCTCTGTACCCATCCATCAGCATCAACAGTTATCAGTGTGTTGCTCTTCTTGTTTTATCTGTAAACCTAGCCATTTTCTTTTAAAGCAGATTTCAGATCTCTTAACATTATTCTACCTACAGATAACTTTAGTGCATATTTTTCTTAAAGGTGAGGACACTTTTATCCCCCAACTTAAAAGCCATGAATCACACCTAAAAATATTAACAGTACTAGGCTATCCTTTTTTTTAAAAAAAGATTTCTATTAAATTTTTTAAAATCAAATTTGGGTCTGGAAGGAGTTCTCTCTATCTGGAAAATAAGCCTACTTCAAAGCTCCATGAATATAGTTTCACATAAATTGAACAGCATGTAAGAATAAAAGTGTATAAATAATCACATTCCTGTTAATTTGAATGTATCCAATGTAATGTGAATTTTTGAAATCATGTTAATATGTATGTACTTTTCTTGATTTAACAGCGTTTAACCTGGAGACTTGCCGGCTTATGGTTTCAATGCTGGATGTATCCTTTACCTTGATGGCAGTCTAGTTTTTTATTCTGGATTAAAAAAAAAAAAAACCTTGAAGGAATTTGTCTAAGAACTAATATTCAGTAAACACAAAGTGACACATGACCACAGAAAAGTTTTCCAAGATCATTAACTTTTAAGATGTCACTTGGTGTGAAAAAGGAAGGACGTTTAATAAGTAGAACATCTGTTACTGAAGAATTTGAGGAAGCGTCATAAACAAACAAATACAGAAACCAGAGCAGTCAAGGTGGCTTTTTTGCTGTGACATTGATTACCCTGCATGAGTCACACTGTCCTTCAAGCAATGGGATTTTTCATATCGTAATTGTTACACTAGTTTAGTTACTGCTGATGGTATGGTGCCTTCATCCCACCTCATTTTCCAAAAGTGAAAACAGTGGGTCTGGGAGGGCTTACCATGGGAATGTTAGGGCTAAAGAGGACCCTGGACAGAAGGGTAAGCAGCATATCCTGGACCGCCCATAAAGTGCAGACCACTTTGGTTGTTCCAGGTAGCTCACAGTGGCCTTTTAATTTCCTTGTAGTCATTCGTGTAGATGATCTCTTTTCCTCACAGAAAATACATACTCAGAGCTTTTTCTCCATAGGCCTTTATTTTTATATCATTAGAGTATCTTTTTGTCCTTTCATGACCAAAAGAATGTACAATATTTTTTTCAGCAGAAAGAACATTAAATTCCCTTATCCTTGATCTTTGATTTAATCATTAGAAAATGTTGCAAAATAAAGATGCTCTAATCCTTGATTACAGTTCAGAGAGACATGTCAGGTACAATGGGTTTCAATGAATTTAAAGAACTCTGGGCGGTACTGAACGGCTGGAGACAGCACTTTATCAGTTTTGACAGTGATAGGAGTGGAACAGTGGATCCCCAAGAATTGCAGAAGGCCCTGACAACAATGGGTGGGTATGACTGATTCCATCTCTGTTCACTAGTAGCTTTTTGTTTTTGTTTTTTTGTTTAATTTATAAAACTTAAGTGCTACGTTTCTATTTATAGAAATAGCACATATTCATAATTTAAATGAGCCCTCTCCTAAAAAATTGGGCTTAAAATTATTTTTAATGTTTTTTTTATCCTTAAAATTGGAATTTTTTTCTTTTCCTTTTTTTTTTGCTGGATGATTTTTCTTCCTTTCAGGATTTAGGTTGAGTCCGCAGGCTGTGAATTCAATTGCAAAACGATACAGTACCAATGGAAAGATCACCTTTGATGATTACATCGCCTGCTGTGTCAAGCTGCGAGCTCTAACAGGTGTGTCCTTTGAGATTGCTATTAGCAGGCCTGGCAAACAGTTCTGTTTCCTCAGAAGTTTTGCTCACATGTTAAGTAATCTGCCGTTAAAATGATCCTAACTAAATTCCCTGGCAGTCCAGTGGCTAGGACAGTGGTTTTACTACTAGGACCTGGGTTTAAGCCTTGGTCAGGGAACTAAGACCTGAAAAGCTGAGCAGCTCAGGATGGGAGAAAGAAGCCCTAACTAAACTAAGTGTTCTATAACATAAATGTACCAAGCTAATTAGTAAATTTTTGATTAAAGTATGAGCAGTAGTCTGTGATTTCTCCCTAGAACGTGAACTACTTGACAAAAGTGAAATACTGGAAAAAAGTGAAATTACCCATCGGTAGCTCTCTTTCCAAATTCCTTCTGTTGGAGAGTAATTTAAAATGGTGATCTGTGTTTCAGATGTCCTTCTCAAATGAGGCTGTATCAATAATCTCTACTTCTCTCTCTCCTCTTTTTCTTTCCTTTCTGTGTTTTTTCTTGTTCCATTCCTTTTCTTTAGTTTTTTTACCCTTTTCAACATATGGTTTTATAATTTTTTTGCATCCTGACAAATTTGAGGGCAGATTCTTTTTTTTTTTAATTAAAGTAAATCCTTTTCATTTAGTAGGACAAAGCTCAAATGGATGGAGTATTTGATCATATCTGTTTGTCATATTAAGGTCACCATACAGCTGTGAGTGTGTGCTCAGTCATGTCCGACTCTTTGTGACTCTATGGACTGTAGTCTTCTAGGCTTCTCTGTCCATGGGATTCTCCAGGCAAGAAAACTGGAATGGGTTGCTATTCCCTTCTCCACGGGTTCTCCCCAACCCAGGGATCAAACCTGCGTTGCAGGTGGTTATGGCTGAGCCACTGGGGAAGCATCTGTTTCTTCACATATCTTTGTTATTAAGAAGTCTGAAATTCTGTACTTCCGTCACAATTAAGGAATGGCCTCAGAAACAGCTTTTACTGACTTTGGCGTAAGGCCTTTTCTTCCAACTCCAGGTTGGGAAAGACAGTTGGCCAACTTCTGCTTGCTGTGTTACTTGGCTGCATATTAAATCCATTCATATTGCTACAGTTGACTCGTTTCCTTTGGCCTTTTGTTTCTGTTGGCTGGTTGTACAATTTGTTACTGCATTTGAAACTCAGTGCTAACATAATTATTATGATTTCAGATGATCTAAAAAAGCTAATAAATTTTACTGTTGTGTTTTACAGACAGCTTTCGAAGACGGGATACTGCTCAGCAAGGTGTAGTGAATTTCCCATATGATGATGTAAGTCTGAGTAAATTTGTAACTAAGTAAAAAAGATGTACAGCAATTGGGCATCCCTTTGAAGCTGGCTCTTTAGAGCATGTTAAGGATCCCAGAGCAGTTAAGCCTTACATGATCAGGAGTCACCATCCAAAATTTATTAATTTCATTTATTTGTCTTATCCATAAACCACCGTTTGTTGCATTAAACAACTTAGGTCAAGGCCCAGCTTTTCTCACTGATTAGCTGGATCACTTAGGCAGGATTTTTCATTGCTCAGAGACTATTTGAGGAAAGAAAAAAAATGCTGTCTTCACTAGACTGTTGTGAGATTTCAATAAGAAATGTCCTTGAAAAATACCACCACGCAGATGTTGTATCTGCTTGTCTCCTTTACACAAATCACCTCTGTCATTGAGAAATAACTTGCATGGCTCAAAGCTGCACTTGGCATGTCTGTGTTCTTCATTGAGGACAAAAGGCACAAACTTAAGTCATAACTTAAAACGATGTATTTACTGTACAGCCACACTAAATGTGTCAGGACACAGACACATAACCAGTGTGAGCATAACCACGTGCTGTCTTTGATGGCCTTGGTTGGATAGACACAGCACAGCTGGGGAGATGTTTAGGTGCATCTCCATTTTTTGTTCAGCCATTGATAAACCACTTTTAGAATGGGCATCACTGTGACAACTAAAAGGTTTCTCCATTTCAAAATACAAACATGCACATATTTTCAGTTTAGCAGCAGCTGCAGTTAATGAGTACACTTTTAAAAGGCTGTTGCGTAAATGTGTTTATTTCTTTTGCTTAAAGGTGTGTTCCCACAGTGTGCATTAACTTCTCAGGTAACAGTCCCGCTCTGTTTCCAAAGATGGAGAGGCAGCCTGTGGGGTGGAAAGTGCACAGGCTACAGCCTCTCACGGAGCTACTTAAGGGATATATATCTGAATGTCCTCACCCGAGTTCCCTTTTCCCTGAAAGAGGGAGTGTCAGCTGGTCCTTGCAGGAATGCTGTAGGAATAGCAGTGTCCAGAGCCGTGATGGTGGTGGAAGAAAGCCAAAGAAGACTGCGAACAGGAGCAGAAACTATTGCTGTGTGTTTGATAGTGAAGCAAACTTTTCACAGCAAATAACTGGTGCTTCTACACTCAGGTTTCTGAATTACTGGAGAAGGATCAGATATTCTGTTTTTGTCACGCTTTTCTGAATGCTGTTTCTGTCCATATATTGACACACATGAATATTTTAATTTAGCAGATTTTAAAGGAATAAACTATTTTAAAGGTAGTCCGGTAGAATAGTGGGGGTAAGACTGCAGTTCTGAAATCCCCATGGGCCAGAACAGTATAAATTCCACTGTTATTTATATTTGTGAGTAGGGGCCTTTGACCATGATCACATCTAGAGTGAGATATTAACTTGGAATTTAAATAATTCTTTATGCATTAAGGTAGCATCAGCTTCCTATAAGAAGGTTTGATGTGAGAAACCCTCTGGATCTTATACTAGAGTGCTTCCTTCAAAATGTGAACCTTTCCACCCATCATTTACTCTTATTTTTAAAACTATTTTTTTTAATCCACAATCAGATGAGAATACCAATATGTAAGTGGTGTGAAAATAAGCAGGGGTGTTCCATGTTTTGGGGTCTGCGGTGTGACACTGGTTTCTCTCTTGCAGTTCATCCAGTGTGTTATGAGTGTTTAAATCAGGAGCAAGCTGTATGAACATAATCCACATTCCGACTGGAGTTCTCCTCTGCTCTCTGCCCTCAGTAATTGTGTGCAGACTTACACAGCCACTTTTCCTTAGCAGCTCTTGTAAAGGTTTATTACTTTATGTATAACTGGTTTTTTGTTTTGATAATAAATGCTTTGAGATGATATTATCATAAGATCCAGTCTGTTAAGCACCATTTAGAACTTCCTTGAGCCACTGTCAATCAAGCCTTATTTTCTTGCTAAGCCTCTTTTATGTAAATTCAGGTGTGCCAGTTGTTTAAGGCACATGAGGTATTTTTCATTGTAAGATACTAAAACCTTTTCATCAGACTACAGCTGTTGTCCTCCCCTCTTTTAGAAGGGCTTTTACATCAGAGTGAAAGCTTTATATGTGAAGTATTCTTATGTAAATGCTTGTATCCACTTGGTGCATTTCAGTATTTTCCGGGTTTTCTATAATGCATGCACTTTCCTTTTACAATCAGAAGATGCTAATTTTTAAAACAGTGATAACATCTATTTGATACACCATGTGTTCACACATATTAAACAATACACACAGCAGAAAGACTGGAAAGAGTATACAAAAATGTTGATGTGACTTCCCCTGGAAATCAGAATCATGAGTTCATTTTCCTTCTTCCTACTACTTTTCCAAATATTCTCTACTAGCAAGTATTGATACTACATTTATATTAATAGTAGACTTTTTTTTTAAAATTTTAAATCATATGCTTTAAAGTATGATCTGAATTCTAATGCTGGCCATGCCTCTTACTAGATAGGTGGTTTGATCATTTTAGATAATCTCAGAGCCATAATACTTTCCTCATTAGGTAGTTGAATATGAAGTAAATATGAAAAAGTGTTGGCATAATAAGCATCAAAACCTTTGTGTTTCTTAAATTTAAAGCTGGACTGGTTTGTTCTTTTTAGCAAAAGAGTTTGACAAAACAAGTTAGTTTCCCTGCCAGCAATTCATCTCTCAGTTTAGAGAATTACCATTCAGATGGTCAGTTAATTGTCAACGGATGAAAAATAAAAGATTTTCTAAGCATCTTTAGCCTCATCCCACTCATTATTTTTTCAAATACCGTGCTCTCTTTCTATATATATATATATATAAACACATTTAACAAATAACTATTAAACTCTAACTTATGTATTTCTGTCATGTAATCACACCCAGGCTACATCTCAGAGTGTGAGTCAGCCTGCTTTATAGTAATTTCATGGGAAATCTAGGTTTCATCCCAGATACACTAGTAGTCCATGAGGTCACAAAGCCTGTCTTGAGCCTGAGCTGTCCAGAAAAGAATAGATGGAGGCCCAGGAGGCAGGGGACTCACCTTCAGAGTCCCAGCACCTGTTTGCTTCACACTCATTGGGACCCTCTGGAAATCCTGGTTTAAGGCAGTGGTCATTTCCTAGGTGACTCAAATGGTAAGGAAGAAAGCCTCTTCTGTCCAGAGGGCCTTTCTGACCAGATTTGAACCGTCCTGCTTTGGTAGATCCTGGGGTGTGCTGCATCAGTCATGGTTCTGAGTCTGCTTTGGGGTAAGAGCTAAAGTATTATAAAACTGTGTCTCTCTGGAATACTCAATTCAATTTTAATTACTGATAGAGCAAGTGTCCATATCTCCTCCACTTCTAATTTCCTTTTGAAAGCATATAGCCTGGTCTTCAGTATGTCTCACGAAAGTTTCCTTCCCCTTGACAAATTTGATGTATCTATTCTAGTCCTACAGTTAGAGCCACACTCTTCATTACAAGTCAATCTTGTGTTGCCTTATTTCTGTTTTATGTTGGATTCTGTTTCACTCATTAGATCCACACATCCAGTGCAGCCTCGCTGCCTTCTTCAAAACTGTTTTTGGTCTATTTTTCTTAGAGCATCTAGTTGAAGCATAATGAAGCTGTGAGCTCAAACTTGAATACTTCACTCATATGGAGAATTGATTAAGTTTCTCAAATCACCCCAACTCAAGATTTAATATTGGAGATGAGAGCTTTATCCTGGTGTGTCAAGAGATTTGTGATGGTTAAGTACTTACAGCCCCTTCTGAGTACTTCCACACCAATGTGGCTGCAGGAGGCTTGTGCATCCCTGGCGACAGCTGGCATAGATTTGGACCACAGCAGTCACATTTCATTAATCACAGCCGTCGCTCCTGTGGAGCCAAAGATGAGTCTAGACTCCACTTTAGTGTGATGTTCCGGGCAGTGCCATCAGTCCATGAAATGACATGTGAGCAAAAACTTCTGCTGTCTCTGAGCTAGACTTTGCTTGGCTGAGTGTGTTACTGTTTTCAGTGTTTATCTTAATGGATTGTTATATGCCTAAAATATTTATGGACATGAATTTGTGCAAACTCCGGAGATAGTGAAGGACAGGGAAGGCTGGTGTGCTGCAGACCATAGGGTCGCAAAGAATCAGACATGTCTGAACAACAACAAAATATTTAAGTAAAAGAAACGGGGCTATATATAGTCACCATACCAGTTTTTAGTCTCATAATAAATATACAAACTCTTAGTCAATGACTTCTGGTTTTCTCACATTAAAACCGTACTTTGTGGGGTGGGACGAAAGGAAGGGAATATATATATTTATAGCTGATTCGTATTGCTATACAACAGAAACCAACACAACATTGTAAAGCAATTATCCTCCAATTAAAAACAAATTTAAAAAACAAAACAGCACTTTGACTACTTATAACTGCTTTTTGCCTCCACAGACTAGGAGCTGAAGGCAAGGAAACTACAAGTGCCAGGGTAAAGACTAGTGGGTTAAAGGGCTGCCCAAGAGACTGAACAGGCTGGTGGAAGAATCTTTTAGGCAGTGAATTCCTGCACCTAAACTGAACCCATCCAGGATGCAGTCTGACACAAATAAGCTCATTAAATAAGCATCACTGCCCGGGCTCTAGGATAGAATACAGTAAATGGATCCTTATTAGGGTGAGGGAGAAAGTGTTCCTGAAATAAGGCAGGAGGATAAATAGAGAAGACTCCATCTGTCTTCCAGCTGGGATAATTGTCCAACAAAGTAACCCATTCAGACTCCCCTAAGGGATCATGGTTATTTCTCCCCATGGAGATGGCCTATTCTAGGACACCTTGAAACAGGAAATAACTGCCAGCAGTATCCCAACAAAGCTTCTGAAAGAGAAACAGTGACTGGGAGAAAAATAGCGTTACAGGGAGTCATCATCAAAATAACGTAAATCTTTTATTGAAAGTCACTTTATTGATGTTACAATGAGAATAACATAGAAAACCGTGGTACCTTATTAGCTTCAGAAGTGAATACTAATAAAATTGTGCCAGAAATTTGAATTTTAAGTTACAGTGACCTATAAAAACAGCAAGGTTTTATTTACCTACAGTAAAACAACTTTGTAACTTGAACAGCCATGAAACAAATCACACAGTGATCTGGAAAGCAGTTGCCATATATTTCAGTTGCTGTTTGCCAAAACCCAATAGTAACGTTTAAAGTAGCTTAAGAACCCGAAGTGCAGAGTAGCAGAGAGAACAGAATGTTAAAATGAAGCCAAACTATATACACCTAATTATCTGATTACTGAGAGTGAAACTGTGCTGCCATGAACACTTTCCCATAAAGTGGCTTCCACTAGCTGTAGATGGGACATTACCACTTGAAGATGACAGATGTGGAAAACACTAGTGCAGACCTACACTGGCTAACATATAACTGCTATGTTTAGGTAAAAAAGCTGTTTTTAAAGGAAGTTGTATTTTTGTGATGCTAAGTTGGAGGGGCAAGTCTCTTCCACCAAGTTAAAAAAGGAGCACATGCTTATTATTCTGAATTAACGTTTGCTAAGCACTTTTGAAGTTAGTGTTAAAAAAAAATTGTCTTCCATACAAGACAAAGATGTTGGGTTATTTTTTCCCATTAAAAAGACTGGCTATAGAATCACAGTTTGATTTTGTGCTGGATTAAAAAAGAAAAGTGGGATTTCTCATCAGGCAGTGATACAAGTGTATAATTTAGCAAGGACTTTTGTATTATCACTGAATCAATGTACTAATTTCTATCAGCACTTTCTGTATTGTGTCATCTGGTATAACTTAGCACCACAGTGTTTAAAGATTTGGGGGCTATTTTCATTTTTAAGGGCTTGATCATCAAAACACAAATCCACATCTGAAACTTCATAAAATGAGAAGCTAAGCCCTAAAGTAAATATTGATTGGTATTATATGCATATGTATTTTCAACTTGAGAGGAAAATGCCCTTTTCTTCATAAACTTATAAATTCTTCAAAAAGTGTATTGATGGTTTTTTAAGCACATTATCTTAACATTGCTAGTCTCATTGTATGCCTTTTTGTTAAAAAGAAAAAAAATACACTTTTTCTCTGCTTTTGATTTGAGGGATACCAAAATATGAAATGATGTCCTCAAGCCAAACCCCTGCAGCCTTTAAGCACCTCCAGATGCCATACAGGTTCTATGAAAAATGCAACAGGGACATGCTACACCAGTCACTGGCCCCTTATGACTGGACAATGAGGACTACACAGCCAATGCTCAGTAAAACTACAATGCACAGAGATCTGCCCTAATCACACAGTACACACCGCCGGTGGCCAACCTGTGCTCTTCTGAGCTCTCCCTGCGGCTCTCCATCCTGCTCCTCCCCAGGGCTAACTGCCTCAGGACCTCCCAAGGCTCGCTGTTTCTTGCCTGCCCTCCAGCCTGAAACACACCCTGAGAACCAATTTCTTGGTGACGTCCCAAGTTGCACAATCCATGCCCAGATGCCAACGGAAAGCTAAACGTGCCTCTCCCCCGATTCTGCGCCCCCAATGGTTCCGCGAGTGCCAGTCCAGGCAGAGGAACTTACCTCCATGACAGTGAAGGTTCCTAGTCAGGAGAAAAGATCTGACAGCTACCGAACGGGGAGTGACTTTGTAAGTAGAAAGGGTCTGGAAGCATGTCGCAAACCCGCAGTGAGAATGCTTATGGTTTGTCAGATTCTGGGTAAAAAGGACAAAAATACTGGGCAGCTTTTTGTTCCGTTTCCGACGGTTTTCTCATAAACCGAACCAGAAGATGCTCCATTTGGGGTACTCTGACAAGCTGATAAGCAGAAACACCCGATTTCTAAGATCCCACTCTGTTCGCTCTTCCTCTGCAGGCATGCTGGAAAATTCCTCCTGGAATTAAAAGCACCTGCCCAGGGAGCATATGCTATGAGCATGCCCCAAAGGTTCCCAGCAGGTGTTGCTGCTTCAGACCACCCCCCTCAACTCCCCACCCCACCATACAGAACCGGATAAATTGCTGCCTGTCAGCTAATTTTCAGGAGCACAGTCTCAGCACCTCACAATCTCAGAAACACAGGAAGCTGTTCGCGAAAGTTCTTAGCTGTCTCATGCAGGAGGAAAGTTGCTGCCTCCAAAATCCAAGTAGTCTTATCCATTCAGAAAATATCTCAGAGGAGAAAAAATTTAAAGGCTGAGCCTCCAAGTAAGTCCTATTCCATAGAAATGTTTGCTTCGTATAGTTTAAGCTAATAGAATAAATTTTTGACTCCACTTAGGCATTTATCAGTTTTAAAGGAAACAGACGGGGGGTGGGGGGGATACTTAGGGGCATTAAAAAGTATGCTGCAAATGGGAGTCAGACGTTTCCTGTAAAATTCTTGTCAATTTACCAACTGGTACTTTTGTATTTAAAATACGCTGCCCAGGGACTTACCTGGGGACCAGTGGTTAAGACTCCGCGCTTTCAATGAAAGGAGCACAGATTCCCCCTAGTGGGGAAATAAGGTCCTACATGCCGCTTGGCCGAAAAAAAAAAAAAAAAAAAAATTTTTTTTTGCTGCCCGGGCGGTGTTCTACTAGGCTGTGGAGGGGCTAGCCTGCCTCCCTTCATTCTCTCACTGCCTTTATTCAGTGGTTCTCTTGCCATATTCCTGGCAAGCTACTCAGTAAATTCCAGTAAGTTCCTTTTCCTTTAAATTTAAGTAAAATAAAGTGAAATAAAATACTCTTCTCTTTAGGTAAGGATTTATTATCATGTTGAATAACACAAGGAAATATTTAAAGCACTAAATATATATGTTTTTATTGGAACTGACTCATTGGAAAAGACCCTGATACTGGAAAAGACTGAAGGCGGGGGGAGAAGGGGACGACAGAGGATGAGATGGTTGGATGGCATCACCAGCTCAATGGACATGAGTTTAAGCAGGCTGTGGCAAAAACCACTACAATACTGTACAGTAATTAGCCTCCAACTAATAAAAATAAATGAAAAAAAAAGTAAACGAGAAAATCTTAAAAGGTAAAGGAGCCACAAGAGATCTGAAACAATGGACAGGATTAAATTATGCAAATCTTCAAGGGGATCAACAGAAAAAAGAGATGTAAGACTGGGAATTCAAACAGTCTTTCTGTGGAAGTACACACAATACCTGATTTTATCTTTTCAGCAACTTCTTTTAGAAACCCTATCAATCTTAGGCTCAGAAATCTATGGTAGATTGACTATGTAGTAACACAATTTGGAAAGCCTTTTCAAAGCAAGGGTGCAGAGCAGTGGGCAGGAGAGAGAAACTGTAGTATCACTTAATAAAGCACCTATATATCAAGCTGAAAAAGAGCTTTGGCATTTTAACCTTACATTTACTTTATTAGTCAACTTTTTTTTAAAGGAAAAGCACTGTATTTCTTAAAAAAAAATAAAATACAGCAACCACAGATTCCGAGCCCTCCTGATGCTGCAATGTTTGAGCAGTTTATCCCTTTCCACAGATTGCCTATGGCCTGCGGGCCACTTTCTAGCTGGGAGACTCCAGAGGAGTACGCCACTTCCTCCCTAAAGAGTGGCTGGACACAGAGCCAGCTCATCTGACTAGTCAGTTCCTTCAGGGCTCCATGATACCACACCTCCTTTGTTGACACTCTTAGTGGAGAAGTATGTGTTGCTTTAAATCAGAGCGTATTACGGACTAGGGATAGATGGAACATCTCAGGCTGCAGAGTTGTCCGATCTGAAGTCTTATCTATGCACAAAGCTTTAGAAAGAGAGGGAAAAGGCATACAATGGGACACAAAGGCCAAAAAGTTGCTTTTCTCTGCTTTTCATAATGGTCCTATAGTTAACTGAGGGCTATAAACATTAGTTTCATGATGCAAACTGCTATGTGGCCTCAAAGTTCCTCTCCAAAATAGATACTAAAAAAAAGAAGAATGCTGTGCTTGTGTTTACTGCCGTGGCTCCATTCTCCTTGTCTCAGTGGATGAACAGTCATAGACATTTAGATTCAATACAACTAGAACGCCAACCATGAGTACACATGTAGGGAATTCTTACTACTCACCACTGAAATTATATATGTGTCAAAGAATGCGGCAAATGGCTGTAAGGATGTTTATACATTCCTAGATTGAGTAGAATCTAGAATAAAGCATTAAAAGTACTATAAAACCATGGTCTCTCTGCAAATGAAACACTTTTCATTCAGTTCCATATGAAGGTTATTATCGAGGAAGATGATTATTAACTGTATACCTCTAGAGCAACCATGTCTCCCAAAGGCACAAATAATGATTTTCACTTGAAATAATAATCTTCATGTAAAAATAAATTGAGATGAGGGAAGAGAGAGAAAGGTAAAGGGGATTCATTGACTACATGGCTAATCATTTGTGGATTCTTTCAAATGAGGGATGTGTAACCATAACTAGGAAGCATATTTACATGAGGCACCTTACATTCAAATCTATAAACTCTTTTATAGTCAAAATAAAACTTCTAACATTAGCTTTTATACACTCAGTACCAGAAAACATTCAGTGCACATTAAAGTGATCTTGGTCAAAAGCCACTTTATTTGCTACATCTTTAAATCTGTCTGCCCTCCTGTCCTTGGCTTGAGCCATGTGGCAATATCACCCAACACCCACTCAAACTTGAGTCTGATGGATCATTTTATTGTGGTCTCGACAATCACATCCCTTCCTGTCATGAAAAATGCTGCTTATAACAGTATCATTTGGGATAATTAAATTGCTTTTCAAATGTTTTCAATGACTTTCAGAGGAGAGGCCATTATAGAAGACATAAACAGATAAAGTATAAAATGCTGCCTTCTAATGGGGCCCTTTGGTTTGGGACTCCAAGATGATTATACTTAGAGATGAAATGGGTTTTGTTCTCAGACACTACTGGTAGAGATCAAACTTAAAGGATATTTCTGAAATCTTGTCTGCAGATTCCATTCCTCTCAAGAAAAAGGAGAGAAAATAAGGAAATTCAGAAGTACTCTTCCCATTGAAGCATTTGATTGATCCCACCCATTTCTGAGCTCACTAGGTTAGCCTCTGGAGAGAAGTTTTCTTTAAGAATGACAGAGCCGCATGATGATAGCTATGGAACTTTGGTTTTAACAAGGGGGGTTTAACACAGATTTCTCACTTTTCTATGGATTTAAAAAAAAAAAATAGAGAGTTCAGGACATCCGATTCTTCCCCATGCCAGCTGTTTGGGTAATTTCACAGTCGCTCACTTCTGTGGTTTTAGGTTTCTTTGAACCCTCTGTGGCCTGTTGAGGCTTCCCAGCCCACCTCGTAGAACCTTCCATGTCTTATTTACAAATCAGTGCAGAATGACTTGTTGGGACTCACATCCCACTGATGATAAATAACCTTAATAAACTGTGTAAAAGTTGTTTGCATTAAAACAAGTCATTCACGTCACAGATAAGGGTGGCTATAAAGTCTTTTTAGAGAACAAAATTTAGGCCACAAAGGGTTGGTGTATTGGCAAGGTGGGAGTTACTGAAGCATCAGCAGCCGTGGTCTCCTGTGTCTTTGGCGCACTTGTTTGATCTCAGCAAGACACACTGCTGTGGGGCTCACAGGCCCCCTGGGGTGAGAGTAGCAGACGTGCTCTGGTGCTGAAAAAGATCAGCCGCTGAGGCAGGCACTGTAGCCCCCAGAAAGAAGATGGACAGGCTGGAGGGTCCCCAGGGGCCAGCCAACAGGAGCAGAGCGCCTGGAGGCAGGAAGCGAGCTGTGGAGGCCCTAAGCTTGGTTGGACATTTTGTTTTCTTGTTCAATAAAACTACCTCCAGACTGTGTACACTTTAAAAGGCCAGCACATGGTTTAGACAAACATCAATTAAGGGGAGACACACATACAGCCCTGATCACGATATTTACAACATCGTCCAATTATAATCTTTAAAGAACAGATGATGGATGACAATGACGTGATTGTGACTGATTGTTTTTAGGCATTTGGCAAAATACACTTGTGTGTAACAGCTGCTTTTTTTTTAAGTTTAAAATGTTTACATATGTACAATTGTCCTTGTATGCTGATATAAATATGAAAAGTAAAAAAAGGAAAAAGAAAAATACATGTTTACAGTTAGCATATGGGATATTGGTCTCTCAAGCTTTAAAGTCCTGCAGAAGAAATCCTATATGCTTAGCCCTGCATGCTAGTTTCTATTATGGGATGTTGTTTCCTTAAATGTAGAAAACAATAAACAGAAGCTTCATGCACATAGCATTACTGACTGTCTACAATGAGGATGTGCTTCAGAATGTCAAGTTCTGAATCCACTATTGTCCCTTAGTAACTTGCTACATTTGGGTCATGTGAGTTAATTTTAGTGATATTTCTACAAATATCTGTCATGCGGATTATCCATTAACATACCAGTACCTTTGCTGTTCCATGTTATAGTGTAACATTTCAGTAGTGCTTTTCATTGTTCAGTTACATCCTAAGCCAATGACAAAAAGAAAATGGTATCCAGATGTGAAGCTTGGCTTCCTCTCCTCTGTGGCTTCTCAGAGATGTTTTTGAATTGTCTGAAGAGCAGATAGATTTGCAGTGATTCCGTGAGGCTGGGTTTGTATAAAAGTTGAAGTAAACAGTTTCGATGTATCACATGTAAACAGCTGATCTTAAATGGATGTCTCCCATAGCTGCATAACAGAGAAAAGCAAAACTTCACATTGTGAAAGCAAGAAACAGATGCATTCTGAGCCACAATGATGAAAAAGGTTCAGTGATTCCATCTGTGTTGATGTGATTGTGGATGTGAAGTCTTATCGATACATAAAATAAACAATCCAATTTTTAGCTCTCTCTTTCCTCTAAGCCTGAGTCTCAACCTTTTTAACAATGGCCCCTTTTAATACCAAAAAAAAAAAACCCCTCACAGCCTCATCTAAGATTACTTGAAATTGTGAAGAAATTAAATATGGTATCTCAAAAGGAATAATTCAAAATATTATTTTTTAAAACTACATGTACCCTTGTTTTCCCCAAGATCCCTTGATACAATCACCTAGAACAGTAGTTTTCAACCCTACTGTACATTTCATTGATCTGGGGACGTTTTGAAAATTCCATAGCATAGACAGCACACTGGATCAACTAAATCAAAATAGCTCTGGGTGAGAATCAGGCAATCAGCATATTTTTAAAAGTCTTTCAGACAATTCTGTACAGTCAAAGTTGACAACTATTGGCCTTAGGAAAGTGTGAGCCCATTAGTACCACCACTGCCCACTTAAAAATCATTGCCCTAGGCCTGTGGTCAGCTACACCCGCTCCAAATCCATTGCTATCCCCTAAATAGCCGCTCTCAGGAGCTGACACATCAGAGTAGAACAAGGCATCCAGGGCAGGATGTCAGGTCCCTAATTCCCTCATCTCTCTCCTCTCCTGGCCTCTGCCACTATTTCTTTACAGCAGCCCTATTCATATCTAATTTCTAAAATGTTCGGAAATTGCCTTAATGGACTGAAAACAAGTTTGGCATGATCAAAGAGAAGTGCCATTCAGTTCACTAGAGAGGGAAGACCAATTTTAAAAAAAGAAAAAAGAAATCAAGCTGACAAGATATGTTTCCAGGTGATATGATCTGGGCATAATTATTATGGACGTGAATAAAGAAAGCTAGGACCAGAGTGATATAGGCTGAATCCAACTTCCATGCAAATTCCATTTTTAGAGGAGATCTGGGGCATATCATAGTAGGATACCTAATCGGTTTCTGAGTCGGGGAGGAGGAGAAACAGCTAAGGGACAAGCGGGCATTTCTCTACAGATTTTCTTCATATGCTCTCTTGGCTCTTCATGGAAATATTCTGTTATCTGTTTGAGGTCTGCTTTATATGTCCTTTCCATTAAAAAAAGACACCAAATCTCCCAACTGTGAGGATCTCTGCTATGGATGATACCTGTTGATGGAGACAAGTTATAATGAATGGTTAACCAGGTCTGCAGGGCATCTGAGGGAGAGATCTCGATTGATGCCCAGATGATGGTGCAAAGTAGAAAAGAGTTCAGACTTCAGCTTCAGTGAGCCCAGTTTCTTCACAAATGGTTAAAAAGATTAACCATTAAATTACAGCTCACATAAAGAAGAGAAGAGGAAAGGAAAGACACTGGGAAAACCTGGAGGCCACAATTAATCCAGTGAGGAAAGAGGAGCAAAGAATTGCTAAGCCATCGCTTTTAGGAATGGGCATGACCTTCGCTGTATCTGGATGGCTGTAACGGAGGGGTTGCTGACAGGCAGATCTGCTTGTTACATTGTCCACAGCCCACGAAGACATCCCAGAGATAGGGGTTGCCTATACTGTAGGGATCTGCTACATGATCATGTGGCCATTCCACAGTGGATGGAACCAAGCAGACCTTTCACACAATGTCCCCAAGGCTACAACCTTCACAGCCACCCCATTCAGCCTAGAGATAAGGCCATGGGCCAGCCATTTCTTGTGAGGGGGGACGTCATTTCCATGGGCTCTCATATGGGAACTCCCCAAAAACCCACACCCTAGAATGACAACAGGTGAGAGAATGTCCCCAACTAGATAGAAGAAACAATGATGTAGACAGTTTACCACGGAGAAAATGTGGGGTGTTCTACTTCAACAACTCCCTGAGGAGGGAAGGAATAATATTACCTAAGGTTTCATTACCATATATTTATGTCACCAACAACTGGATGCCTACTCACAACTCTTTTTTTTTTTTTTTTAGGGACAGAAAGCTGAGTGATGAGAATCTGAGATATCATTTTTCTTTCCATCTTTTACCATTTCCCATCTTAACATATGTAATTTTTTGTATGGTTAGTATACTACCACTGATGGTTTTTAAAGTCTTTTTGATTATAGTGATCTAATCACTTAACAAGTTATGTTTTCTTACTGATTCTGAGTTGATCAAGTTAAAATTCAAATGATCCATGTTTACCTTGAACCCTAGGATTTAAGTTCAGAATCTAAGAGGCTCTGAAATATCTTTCAAAACCAAAAAGCCTAAGAACCTGGGACCCACTAGCAGATAAATCTGTCCAGGCTTTTAAAGCTTCATTTTAATTTTTTACAAAATTATTTCTTAGAAGATCGAAGTTACAACATAACTAACCACAACAGAGCCTGCACATCAATAAAGGTAATTATTCTTTAGTTATTTCTTTCACATTAGTCTCTGAGGGCTGGTCTGCCTCTCTAGACTCAACTATATCTCACATTTTGCACAATGAAAGTGTTCTTGGGAATGCTGTGAGACTAAGAGGACTTGGTGTTTATATGAAACTTCTGGTGAATTATATTTTTATAAAAATAGTAAACTCCAAATATGTTTTTAATTTTTTAAATAAAAGTTTGCTAAATTTCACTATATTCTTTGTTATACTCTTAATCTTACAGATTTTCAAGGCTCCTTTCCTTGCATCTAAATTCCACCCCCATTCCCAAGACACTGATCTGATTTCCTGTTATGGGTTCCTAGTCCTTAAATCCTATTGGGTGTTATTTGCCAGTGAGAAGTCTAAGTAAGCAAACTGTGCATGGAAGTAAGGTTGGTTTACTTAATCTCTAGAAATTTCCAGGTACTGATAAAACAAAATACAGCCTCTGTTTTATCTATTCCAGATTGTAATATATTAACTTTGATGAATAGCAAAAGACACAAATAAAAAGAAGTGAATGATTAATACATGCCCAATACTTCTAAATTCATCAGTAATGAAACAAATTTGGGCCCAAAAGCCCCAAGAACCACCTATTTTTTTTCAAACTCAATTTTTTTCATGTTCTTACAAACAGAAAAGGAAAAATGGCTCTCTCTTTTAAAATATCAACTCACAGATAAATGATAATGACTGAAGGTGTTAATATGTGGATGGAAGAAGCTCTCACATACCCTGGCACTTGGTCGGTTCACTTTCTTGTCCTCATCAGGAAGGGGAGGCATTGGATAAGGGTATTTTCTGCTGGAAGCAATAGACCCAGTTGACGAAGAAGGAGACTTGGCAGGAGATAAAGTCCTGAGACGTTGAGAACACATGAGATACATATTATGTAATTGCCTAAAATCTTTTCAAATTCTGAAAAGTGGGTTCAGAAAGAACCCTCTAATTTCTACTTTCATAGGCCACTACTGCAAAGATTTAACTACTGGGACATACTCTGTCATTCACAACACTGGAATACTAGCTAGAGTTTATCTTCCTAATTTCACAATTGCAATGGATTATTTAAATGTTCACACACAGAATCATACTTTTCAGCTAGAAAGCCAATAATGAGGGGTTTTTATTTTTAACAGAGTTTTAAAAAGTTAAAATGAAGAAGAGATTAAAAATATTCTAAGAGCTCATAATGGTAAATTAAGTGTACAATATATTAATAGTCTTATTTTATGACTTAGTGTAAAAAAATTTTAGTACAGTAATTCCAATTGTATTTTTAAGATCTTAAAATATGATGCAACTGAAACATTTATTAGTTACTAAGTCACACACCAGTTTATACAAAACTCATGCATTCAGAGGCCAGTGTGTTAGTTGTGACAGAACAAAGGCAAATACGAGGGTTTTAATAACAAATTAGTAAACATGCAAGCGGTAAGGAGTGCAAAGTTCCAGCCAAACAAAGAGTCTGATGAGAACATACAAAAATGGTCTGATTAGTCCCTACAATCTTCATAGCTGTATAGGGGAGCATTCTGAGCCATGGACATACATCTTGATAACTCATGTAGGGTATACTTGTCATGTCGATAATGTGGCAACACTTAAATGACTGGAATTTTTGAAACACAACAACAAAAACTCTTCTTATTTGGATAACATGTGTTCTCATCACGGAGATATTCCCCATGAAAAATTTGCATGACCTCTTGGTGTATTATACTGCTCTTGTTTTATTCAGCATGTATAGTGGTAATATCCATGACTAAGCAAAGCACACTGGAAAAGCCTATATCTGCTATCTTGTCTTTAAAGTGAAAAAAAAAAAAAAAACCCAGCTGAAAATGAAGAACTTACACTGTGTCAATGAAAAATAGGCATGATCATTTAGCCGTAGCTACCCATTTCACAAATGTTACCACTACATATCCATGACTCCTCAATCCCTGGTGCAAGGTGGTAATGGCCCACATCACTGAAGGGGGTACACCTCCGTGCTGGAGCACCTGGGACTCGTTCCAGGGGGTGCATCTCACCTGCTGTGAGTGGCTGACTCAGCCTGTGAGTGTCGGTGATGGGGTAACCTCAGGTAGAGGGAAATCACCTGACTGTACTGCCGCTGCTGCTAAGTCGCTTCAGTCGTTGTCCGACTCTGTGCGACCCCATAGATGGCAGCCCGCCAGGCTCCCCCGTCCCTGGGATTCTCCAGGCAAGAACACTGGAGTGGGTTGCCATTTCCTTCTCCAATGCATGAAAGTGAAGTCGCTCAGTCATGTCTGACTCTTAGCGACCCCAGGGACTGCAGCCTACCAGGCTCCTCCATCCATGGGATTTTCCAGGCAAGAGGACTGGAGTGGGGTGCCATTGCCTTCTCTGCTTGACTGTACTGCCTGCACCAAATAAAGATATCTTTTCCTCCCTGATTCTAAATTTTCATTCCTATCCATAGATTAATCTTTGCTCTGGTTTTGCTGTAGTTTTCGAGTCAGTTTCTACTTTATGGATACTGAATTCAAGTTAAGGTTTGAAAATAATTTTTCCCACAAATCCTGAGATTTGATTTAATTTTAAGAATCAAGAATGACTCAGTTTACTTTTAATCTGTAATTCCTACTGTTTCCTCTATTTTTGGAAAATGTCCAGGACCAAATGGTCCTTCATGTGAACTGTCAGAATACTGCAACTCTTTGATGTCTCTTGTATTAAAGCTCTCCACTGAAGAGAAGATGGGTGGAACTAAGAATATATAAATACTTCAAATCCTCTAAAGTATTATTAAAGCAATGTACTACTGCATCTTTTTCTAACTCAGAAATTAATATTTGTGGGTTTTTTTTTCAATTCTAGGAAAGCATTTCAAATAGGACTGTGATGTTTAGGAAACAAATTCAGTATGTTCAAAATGAGCATACTTTTGTATTAAATATTTAAATACATCCTTCTAAAATTAGGGACATTAAACTGGGTTCAGATTTTTAGCCTAATTACTAGTGATAAGACATCCAAGTTCAGAAAAAAGAGTCAGGTACACAAACAACTAAATCTCGTTTACTTTAGGGGATCATACAAACTCAGTCATCTGTTTAACATGTTGCTGTGTGCATGTGTGTCCATAACATGGGGTATTGGCTTATAGCTTCAAAGTCATGCCAGCCATTCACTTGGTCATGGTTCCAAGTGACCAGCTTTGTATACACACAGGGCCATTCCAATGAGGATGCTGGAAGTCCAGCTTCCCCCTCAAATATCTCCCTGGCCAAAGCCAACAATGAGTTAAAAACAAAGAGGTATCCTCCAGAACCTCAAAGAAATTGAACATTTACTACTCCTCTCATTAACACACCAGTTTAACTGACACTTTGAACCCTAACAGGCAGAGAAACCAAGCAGCCCAGTTTAGCAGGGGTGAGGGGCTTCAGGTCTAGGATCGAGGGGTGTGTGACAGCATCAGGGGACTATCTTGGGGGATGCAGAGCACCAGAGCAGGAGTCAGAATAAGAGCAGAGACCAAGGTAAGGTAGATTAGTTTAGGGAAAATGGAAACAAACTTCAAAATTTTCACAAATATCTAAGAAAGATGTTTCTTCAAAACCACCTCCGGGCACTTTTCTGAACCTGGCTACTTGCCTGGTGGTTCCAATCTGGCTCTCACAGAAAACCAAGCACTGACCCAGCTCATTCACTTTACAAAGTAAACTCTGGACAAATGCTAATCATTATCATTACTGCATTTTTAAAAATCGTAATAACCCATAATCATAACAGGTGCCATTAAGAATTACACAGTGAAGGTATGTCCATGTGCAGATGGATTGTGGAGTGTTTGGGGGCTACATCAGACCTCTGGGTTTGCCCTCTGTCCACAGACAAGGCCAATCTTGGTTTACTTCTGTCGCTCAGAACAGGCAAAAACCAGTCACACACATGTGGGACACACGCCCACCCCTTAATTCACTTGGCTGTGTTCATATGCAAATGTTACAGTAGTCTGACGGAAAAGGAACAGATGTCGGAGTCAGAGCCAGGCTTGTAATTTGGGTTCTGACACTTACTAGCTATGTTACCTCGAGTTACTCTTCTGCCTCGATGTTCTCCATACACAGAAAGGAAATAAGAATGCCTACATCTCATGATGTTGCGAGAAATAAAGGAACAATGCAGGTACCCAATACATGACAGTTATTATCACTAGTTTCTCTCCAGAGTTATTACATTTCCACAAGATCATGGAAAAAAACTAACAAACCACGTGTGAAGTGAGTAATCAAGTGGGTAATACCCAATACTAAGGAAACCTTCCAAGAGCTGGTAAAGCACTGTCACCAGCAGAACTGCTCCCAGGATCTAGCTGTGGAAAGATAATGCGCTCACTGTGACCTCACCTGCTCCTTTGTGATGATCTGAATATACACTGACAACAATTTGAACAAATACTGTCATATAAGACCTGGGTAAGGAAGCCCAAGCAAGGCAGTCTGATCACTCAAAATCTTCCTGCATTGGCTTTGCTCTTTAGAGTGACAGAGATACCATTTTTCTTTTTTCAATGCTGGACTGTCTTTTGGACAAGTTTGCTGTAGTCAGAGTCCCCACTGCATTTTGATAAGGATGCCACAAACCCCACACCACAAGGTGATTAATAAAGTGACCTTTGCCCTCATTGGTGGTTTTGGCAGGTAACCCCGAATGACCTGGCGGCAGACGAAGCAGACCTGAGCTTAAGCATAGGGTTGGCAAAGCATAAGCTTTTGGGTCTCCTATGTGAGGCTTGGTGTGGACGGACAGTGGATGAAATTCACTCTGTTGTGTTAGTATCACGTGTTCTAAGCCCTGGAACATCTCAATTATTTACCACTTCCACAAAAATTCTGTGTTGACTTTCAGGTCTTACAGGCATAACCCTTATTAACCCTCAAATGACAGTTAACTTATAACCCTCCACTAAATTTTATCTAGCTTTTAAACATACATATGTATTTAATAAGGAATTCTTCATATGACTATCCACTGTAGGGACCAACGTCTCATCACGAGAGGAGATAAAGGAACCCTCTACCATTGCCCTTGCAGCTTTGCACGTGCAACGGGGGAAGCTGAAGCATTCCCCCATCCAAATTGCATTTATTCATGCAGCTTCTGGGCAGACCTGGGTGCTGATTTTAAGAAATGTGAACTCTGCTCTGGGAGCCACATAAACTACTCAGCTCACCCAGGGGAGGTGAATCAACTCTTCCGGAGTACCATTTCACAAATCACTGTTACAAAAATGCTAAGTCCATTTAGGTAATGTAAGCCCTACCCCATATGGGACCAAAGTCACTGTGTTACTGTGTTTTGGTTCCATGGCTGATACAAATTATAATCTGCCCACAAGCCTGAGGAAAATAGGAAAGAGAAATAGGACCGCAGGTGAGCCAAGATTCCAAATAACATTCAAAATCATCTTACCTGTCTTCCTGACGCTGGCCATCTTGGGAGCTACAGGTGAGGTGGGATGTTTGAATGTGAGTGTATGTGTATGAAGTTCAGTGCGAAAGTGCTATTAGCAGAGGGGCAGGGAAGAAGGGGGAAGATGGAGTATAAAAGCAGGAGATATTTTTGTGAGCAAGCAGGGTTATGCTGTCCTTGAGTTATATGCAAATGTATGGATCAAATTAAAATGCAGGTTGGTCTAATCATTTTCTCAAACTATACATACATGTCTAAACTAAATGGTACACTGGAAGAGAAAGTCCACCTTGTATGGGTGCTGAGAGTTGAAAACACACATATTTTGATATCTGATCAATGCTGATCCAAGTCACGGCAATAAGGAATGTGAACGCTAACTGTTGAAGTTACGCTCCGAAGAGGTA